TTTTGATGCAAACGAAGGCCAAACGAACACTAAGCTTTAATAAAAAAATATTTTTTTATGAAACATTTTTTTTTTTTTACTTTTTGGCAATGGAAACAAATTTTATAACCAAGTGTGGAAAAAATTATCGCTTTAAAAGACAATTTTGATACAAACGAAGGTCAAACGAACACAAAATTTAAAAAAATTTCGAGTGAAAAATTATACAAATCAAACATACTTAATTAACAATTCTCTGTAAAACAATTTCCAGACAATTACTTTCCTTAAAATTCATTTTCTTTTCACCCATTTTCTATCATTACAATCAAACGGATCTAAGATGTACTCCAAGCATGACAATTTATAAATACAATTTCAAAATTAATAAACTTGGAAAATATTTTAAAAATAAGGTGATCACCCTTCTCACATATAATCAAACCTGTGCATGTCATAATCACAAACCACACAATTAAGAGGCATCATCACGTACAAAGTCCTAAATTCTACAAGTGTGTTTGTGCCACGTTATTTTGGAAGAATGTATTTTGAAATAGTAGATTGATGAATAATATGTGATTGAAAATGAGCAGAAGAATGATAATTTAAATTTTAATATTACTTAAACATAGGCTAAGTAAAAAATTACACAAAGTCGCAATCATCTACATAATTTATACATCACGATTCACACATAATTTATTACTCACACATCACACAATTAAACCAGAGTTTGACTATCATTATTTTAAAATTCTTTAATTTTCACACTCATTTTCAACTACGTATTTATACAATAATAAAACAAACTTTTTCTTATTTTTTAACTATGCATCATTCCAAAATTAATATTTAAAACTCAATTTTCTTACAATAATGGCCATAGGGGCGAAATGGTCTTTTTATTTATTCTTCATTTTCTCGCCCCCTACTCTTTTCTCCAATTTCCAACTCTTTGATTCCATTCAACACAAGGCGTCTCTCCACCCTCCAGCACGCTCGATCTCAACAAATAATCCGGTTTCTCCTCCGCATCATCCGTGGTCCTAAAGAAGTCCCCCTGACCACACACATGGTGAAGGTGAATAAGGCTCCTCTTCCTTCTTACTTACCACGTCCTAAAAAAGGAAAAGTAAAATGCAGTACCATCTATA